TGGCACAACAAAGTGGATTTGATAGTTTATCTGCTCATCTTGCAGAGTAATGGTTTGTATCTCAGTTTCGAGAAACCAAGGTTGCTAGCAAAATTAGCTGACACCACTAGGCTTTCAAGGGGGGGGGGGATGTCAAACTGAGATGCTCTCCTAGATGACTAACTGAACCTTAACGATGCTCTAATGGCATACCGAACAGCCACACAAGCAGCGGTTCGGATTTTAGGGAGCGTTTAGATAAAGATATAGTACGCATGTAATACGGCACAGTCAAAGGTCATCCATTTTGCCAATATGGAAGAAGAGGTTAGGATAATATTATGAAGATATAGTACACATTCCACAAATATGATATTTACAGATATCTTATCTATTTTGATTAATAATATTTTATAAGAAAATCTTAATTGATATTGATTGTATAGTACATTTATTAAATTTGTTATTACTATCTACCAAAATTTAGGGAAAATAATTTCACTGCCGAGCTATTATTTACTTTTCTTATTTACTAAAAACAATATTTAAAAGAAACTATATAAAATAATCCAAAAGTTTAATTGGATAAAATAATAAGTTAATTGTATATAAGGAGGCCATTATTTCTAAAAAGTAACCAGTGAATTTTATTTTTGAAAACCTAATAAGTTATTGGGATAATGTTGTTTATTTAATTTTCTAATAATATTATGTTTTGATTCTGATTTTTACACAAATGATTTTCTATTATTCATGTTCAATTATTTAAATTATTAGTTTAAAAATAAATATGTAAAATAAATAAAAAATACAGGTACATTCAATACATTAAAAATATAAAATAATCAATATTTTGAGTATTAAACCTAACCACAACAGTAAAACTAAAATCTGCTTACTATGTATAAAAAATTGAGCAAACATTTAAGAGAATGTATGCCATTTCAATCACGAAAATCGTGTCATGTTCATACGAACTTATAATCTCTAACAAAATTAATAAAAAATAAATAATTTTAGTTATACATAGCCGAAGATGATCTAAAAATGTAATCTCATTATAAAAACATAACCAAAAATAAATATAATTACTAAAATAGTTTTATGTCATAAAATATATATATGACAACAAATAATAAAACCAAAAACAAGTCAGAAAAATAAACAAACAAGTAAAATTAATATAATATTCTTCATCACTTAAAATTTGTTAAAACACAAAAATCATTATTATTCACATCTGTTGCGAATACAAACTTAAATCATAAACCATAAAATCATATAAGAAAACAAAAACTTAGATCACAAGTTAATTACATCCCGCCCGTAGGGCGGGCCTACCCTAGTTTAAACATAAAATCAAACATATGAAAGATGTTATTCAATATTTTTTTGTTAGTATCTTCGAACCTAATACGAATATCATAGGTAGTTTGCAGTTTCTTCTATTCATTTAAAAGTAAACTAGGTGTTTTGCCCGCACATGCGGGCTTAATCCTATTACAATATTTATGATTACATTTATTATTAAAACTTATAAAATTACATCTCTTATTTTATTATTATTTTTACATCTTTTATTTCGGATTTTTAAATTTCTAAAATTAAAATACGTTTCAGATAATAACATTATGTAAGAAACTGTTTTTTATTTGTTTTTATTTATATTTAATTTTGCATATTAGTTCATATTCAATTATCCAATAAAAGCACTATAACTTTTAACATGAGAGTTCAAATGTGAAATATTACTTTAGAAATAATAATATTACAATTTAGAAAATTTTATTTTTGTACTTAAATATTTTTTATACATCTTTTATATCTTATCTTTTTTATGTTTAAACTTTTATTTTCAGATAACAACTAAATATATGTAGAAAATATATTTAAAAATAATATACCCGTTTTGATAATTTTATTTTATTCATTTATAATAATTTTCTGATAACAACTGCTTATATGTAGAATTATCTTTAAAAAAAAAAAATAGAAGTTGTGATAATTTTACTATGTTATTTTATAATAGTTATCCAATATTTCATATAAATCTAATATTATTAATATAAAATTCATTTTAAATTGTATAATAAAATGTATTGTATATAATTATTCACTAAGGGTAATATTGATATTAACTGTTCTAACTTTTAACGTGAGAGCTTGAATGTTAAAAATTAATTCGCAAATAATATTATAGATTTTTATATATCTTAATTTTTGATTTCTATAGTAGAAAAAATATTTTCAAGATAACAATTTAATAAAAAAATATAAAATTGGATCTATTATTTTATTATTATTTTTACATATTTTATTTCTTATTTTTATATTTCTAAAATTGAAGTACTTTTCAGATAATAACATTATGTAGGAAACTGTTTTTTTATTTTCTTTTTATTTTTATCCATTTTACATATTAATTCATATTCAATTATCCAATACAAAAGAATTATCTTATTTTCTAAAAATATCTTCTTATTAATATAAATTCTATCATCTTATTAATATAAATTCGTTTTATTTTATAATAAATTATATATGAAAATATTTAAAATATGAAAATAAGCAAAATTATCTAAAATTAAGGAGAAGTTGACAAAAAATAAATTATTTCTTAAATAATAGTATAGATATAAATTTGTTTTATTTTATAATAAATTATATATGAAAATATTTAAAATATGAAAATAAGAAAAATTACCTAAAATTAAGGAGAAGTTGACAAATAAGCAAATTTATTTCTTAAATAATAGTATAGATATAAATTCGTTTTATTTTATAATAAATTATATATGAAAATATTTAAAATATGAAAATAATCAAAATTACCTAAAATTAAGGAGAAGTTGACAAATAAGCAAATTTACTTCTTAAATAATAGTATAGATTGTATAAAATTATGTTTAATTGTTTAGTTTAAATGGTTAAATATCTTAAACTTAATATTATTAGTATATTTACTTACTCTAGTTAAATAAATGTTTCGGTTTTTCATTCCAGTTTAAAACTGAACCAAACCAAAATATTTGAGTTGATAAAACCTTTAACCAAATAGTTAGGATATTATACTTTGGTTTGGTTTTGGTCGGCTTAGGTTTAACCGGGTCGGATCGGTTTTTTCCAACCCTAATTCTTTCACTGGATACTTTCATCATCTCAGTTACAGGATCGTTATTCGGCTTAACAGTAACTAGATCATAACCCGCCTTGGGCGGGTTTTTATTTTTATGGTATATATAAACATTTCAAAAAGTACAATCTAATGGTTCTAATTTTACTAAGTAATAGTATACTGTTTAAATATTTTATTTCATCATTGTATTGTGTAACAGGGGCGTCGGTATAATATTGTGACCCGTTAATATTTTAGTAATAGTTTATAAGGTTTTTTTTTGCTAAATTTGGTACAAAGTTATATACACGAAACAATTTAGTCAAATTTTTAAGTTAATTTTTCAGTGAAGAATTAGAAAGCAAGTATATCACTGTTAAAAAATTATAACAATAGTCAATATAAATTATATAAATAAAATATATATTATTATTGATTTATTCTAAATAAATTTAAAACACGAGTATATATATGTAAAAATAATTTTCAGAAATAAAGTAATATTAATGATACAAAACCCAAAATCAATAATAATAATACTTTGGGCCATATTAATCTTTAGTTTAATAAATAAAGCCCATTAGGTTTGTATACTATCATTTTCAATCACCATAATTTTAAATATTTTCTATTCATGTTTCCAAACACTTAATTTTTTGTACTTCAGCTTTAATAGTATAGATAAATATCTTATTAAGAAAAAAAAAGCTTTGAGTTAGGGCCTAAAATTGGTTTGAAATTTAAAACAAGATGGTGCCTAGCTCATGATGACATCTCTATTCTTATTGGGCAACGAAATATCAGTTCTTTAGCAAAAATATCAATAGAGATTATTTTGGGCCGTAGTGAGCTAGTGGGCTTATAAGGAGTGAACCCCATAAATATCAAAATAATAAGATAATACCCGAAAAAAGACCAAGCCTAGTTAATGATTCCTCTTATCCACTAAAGAGTCCGCACGTGGGCATTTTAGTTGGTTCTAACAAGCAAAGATAAATCTCACGCGCGCGTAAGCACACGACGACTGATGATCCCCTTGTCAAGAAGACAGAGCCACCCACCACCACCCCCCCTGAAATTACAAAAAGAGGTCTCACCACCGTCGTCAACTTTCGCTTCAACCTCACGAATTTCTCCGATGATTGTTCTCTAGGGTTTTATCTTCTTCTCGATTCGATTCGTTTCGTTTCGTTCTTCTCCCTATGAATTGCTGCTAGGTGAGGATCTTCGATTCTTTATACATACATGAAGCTAACTTTCGAGCATAATTGCAGATATGTTTTGCTTTTTCGTGAGAAACTGTTGACGATTGGTTGATTTGGATTCGATTGTTTTTTTTTCGTTTTCAGATAACTTGATGTTTGGTTGGATAATGTGTTTTGCTTTTGTCGATGATTCTCTCTCGATGTTTGTGTTATTTTATTTTATTACAATTAGATTTCTGTTTATGTTTGAGTAACGTCTTCTTGATTTTCTAATATCGTTTCCTTCTTTGTGAAATTTCTCAAATTTGAAAACAAAAACTGCAAAGATATTTTGTACATCAGACAGTGTGACCTTGAACTCATTCTGTTTGTTGCCTTCTTGTCTCCATTTCTTTTGAATTTTCGGACAGCTTCTGTGTTCGCTGAGTTTTTTTTAGAGTTTAGTGTTTACTATTTAACAGCTTTTTCTGCAATTTTTTCACCTTTTGATTTATCTTTCTTTTGTGTTTTATCAGATGCGAGATTTGATGGTTCGGTTTGGAGTGTACGCACTAGAATCTTTAAGAGTAGACAAATCTTTGTTTACTTCTATTAGAAAGGTTTCAATTTGAGTCTTTCCAAATGCATTTACAGTTTCGGACAAAATTCAATTTTTAATTTATGAGAGTTCATTTATGACTTTTGTTTTCGGCAGGACAACAATGGAGGCTCGTCCGGTTCAGAGATCAGGCTCTAGGGATCTCAGTAACCTCACTCACACTTCTTCAATCCCATCTACACCAAACCCTTCTTTAGCACCAGAAGCTGCTTTCATGAGATCAGATCACAAACCCTTAGGACAACAAAACTATCACTTGCTTTCCTCCAGTAACGGTGGAGCAGTTGGACATATATGTTCTTCCTCATCATCTGGTTTCTCAACCAATCTCCACTACTCATCTATGGAGAAACACAACTACACAGGAAGCAACGGTAATTCCGCCTCACACCATCTCGTTTCTCAGGCGTCAAGCAACGATGATAGTTCTTGGTGCCATGGAGGGTTTCTTGATTTCCCTGAAGACCACCAGACTGTTCATAACAACAGCCAGATGGAGGACGGTTGCATTGGCATTGGCGCGGCGTTTGAATGGGCTGACCACTTGATCACTGATGAAGATCCTTTACTATCTACTAACTGGAATGATCTCTTGCTTGACACCAGTTCCAATTCAGACACAAAGGTTTGTTAAACTCCTACTCCAAAGTTTATACTTTGGTCTTTTTTGATTGTTCTAATTGAACACTTGTTTTAGGATCAGAAGTCTTTGCAAATCATCCCACCGCAACCACAGACTGTTCAGCAGCAACCTTCTCCGTCTGTGTCTGTGGACTTGCGACCCGTCAGCACAACATCTTCAAACAGTAATAACAAGGCACGTATGCGTTGGACACCAGAGCTTCACGAGGCTTTTGTTGAGGCTGTCAACAGTCTTGGTGGCAGTGACAGTGAGCATTTATTTCTCGTTACTTTTCCATATACCTTATGGAAAGATAATAATAACCTTTACTTCGGGTTACACTCATATCGCAGGAGCAACTCCTAAGGGTGTGCTGAAGAAAATGAAAGTTGAAGGCTTGACTATATATCATGTCAAAAGCCATTTGCAGGTTCTTATAGTTTTCTCCTTTGTGCTGAGTTAAATGTATACAATTTGTCTTCTTTAATGAAAGATTGTGTTTTGTATATAAACTGCAGAAATATAGGACGGCTAGGTATAGGCCAGAACCATCAGAAACTGGTAGATACAGAACTCTTTTCTATCTTTATACCCTTGATGATTTTTTTGTCCTGAAATTCAATTTAATTTACAGGCTCACCAGAGAAGAAGTTGACACCGCTTGAACATATAACAGCTCTTGACTTGAAAGGGTAAGAAACCGAACAAGTTCTGCACCATCTTTGACAGATTCTCACCTTGTTTTAAGTTTTAAGTTTTCTTGCTGACCATAGTTTATACTACAGTGGGATAGGTATTACAGAGGCTCTGCGACTTCAGATGGAAGTACAGAAGCAACTCCATGAGCAGCTCGAGGTATGTCTTATCTATATTCAAAAAGACATTGCTTATAGCTATGGTTTTTATGAGCTTGCTTCAAAGTGTTTTTATTACTTGTTGCTGCAGATTCAAAGAAACCTGCAACTCCGGATAGAAGAACAAGGCAAGTACCTGCAGATGATGTTCGAGAAACAAAACTCTGGTCTCGGCAAAGGGGCAGCCTCAACATCAGATTTACCATCCAAATCTGAACAAGAAGACAAGAAACCAGCTAATTCAGAGGAGATCGCACCAGAGGAGACCACCAGGAAATGCCAAGAGTCAGAATCTCCACAACCAAAGCGAGTCAAAACCGACAACTGAAAGAATCTATCTACATCTACTAGGAGCTGGTGTATTGCTGGATCGTTTCGTAGTTCCAGAGTTTTAACAGTTAGAGAGAGAAAGAAAGAAAGCTCTCTTATCTCGAGGGTCTTGAGGACTTTTATCTCTACTGTTTCAACTATTTTTTCTGATGTAAGACTCTCTCTCAACTCTGTTGTGTAGACAAAACTACAGATCCCCAAAGAAGAAACCAAAAACAAAATAAGAGTTTAGTTAGGGAGAATCTTCATCATTTGAGTGTAATTTAAATGCTGTAACTCATCGTTAGTTTACGGATACAGATTTTATGTTTTAATACTTTTTTTAGAATATTAAACCCTTAGTTTGTGATTACATTTAAAGATTCAAAACTCAAAAGCAAACATTAGAGGCCTCAAAGTTGCTGGAAAATAGATGATGAGTACTAGTTTAGACCGGTGCCGTTTAGGTGAAGTCTCAACCAGGACTATCCTCTTGGTTACGTGGAGCTCAAGCTAGGTCTCCCAAAGATTGGAAAATTCCAATAAATAAATCTTCAAAAAGGCTTGAAACCTTTTTAAAAAAGGTTTGGTGATAAGGAGTTTCATGTATGACTCTTTTGTGACAATATGTAGTTTCCATCTTCTCCTGTAGTCCTGTTAGAGAATTAACTAGGTTTTAGAATCTTAGGTCTAGGTTGCCAGCAGAAAGCAGAAAAGTAGTTGCAGTTTGATAGGTTCTATACATGGAAAATACCACATCAAGTAGATATGAAAAATGACTTCATCAACTACTTGCTTGATATGTTTCCTTGATACTCTGGTTTTATTATCATATATTTAATATTTGCCTCACACACATTTTTTATTTTGAGATATTCACACATAAATATAGGTTACATTTCAATGTTTCAGAGCTTCCTTCTTAGGACAACAACAAACATAATGGGTCTTATGTCTTCCTGTTACGATTTCAGCTTCGTATGATTCTCAACCTAAGCGATCAACTAGTTACTTGAACAATTAAGTAAATGACACAAGCAACTTTAACGAGTTCCCGGCCTCTAGCGCGGTACGTCTTGTGGGAGAACTCTTGCTCCCAAACTCCACTAGATCAATAAAGAGTACAAGAACCAATCACTTATAGAACCGTGATGGTTTAGATAACACCAAGAAGACACAAGTAGTCTCAAGGCCTTAAGCTAGAACAATATGAGCTCAACAATGTTCTCTATGCTTAGACTAATCTCTCTGTCTCTCTTGTGTAGCTTGACTCTTTCTCTGCTAGATCTCTTGTTCCTGATGAAGAAGACTGCTTCTTTTTACTTGACCTAATCGCACATATTAAGTTAGCCTTTAACCTAATGGGCTTTGTCGACTAAGCCCATAGGTTGTCCGCGCATAACTTGTGCAGGCCGGCCCAACATTGAACGGGTCCGATTGGGCCTTAACCAAACCTCACAAAACTCCACCTGTTTGGTCTAAGGCCATAACCCCTGCTTCTGTGCCGATACTCCCTGGTCTTTGTCTCTTCTTCCTGAGCTCCAATGAGCTCCACCTCAACCGATGTGGTTGATGATGCTAAAGCTTCAGTCTTCCAACTCTGTACTTGAGGTGACTCTGTCCACCCAAGTTGACTTGCAGCTTTCTTTGTCTGAGCCCGTTCATGTGAAAACCACTGACTCAAACTCCATGATGATTCCTCTAAGGTATAACTCACACAAGCTTCTTCTAGCTGTGGTAGCGACTTTATGCTTCTTGAACAAGTGTTGATGACTGTTGTTTCATCTCCAGAAAGCTAACACGTCATAACAACCTGTTCAACCGGATTCTGTCTGCGCATTTTACTCTGCCTTTGACAAGAATCAACAAAGCTAAGTCTAACCTTGAATCACCTTTTCCCTTTGATGAAGCCTCCTTAACAGTGACTAACTTGTCTCTCTGTTTGCTTCTCTGGTGAAGATGCTCCACCTTGAACACGTGAGTGTTACCACGAGTTCATCCCCTTTGCCAGGTAGTCCTTTTTCAAACACTCTTGAGTAACTCATCCTCTCTGATCTTGACACATACTGACCCTCTGTTCTGTGACGTGTCTTGGGAGGTATTCTTGTCTACTCTGGAGTTACCTGGCGTGGCTGTTCCTTTCTCAGTGAAGGTTAACAAGTTCGCAGCATAGCTGGAACTTCTGACCCGGTACGGTCTTAGTGAGAAAATCTGCTGGATTAACTGAAGTGTGGATCTTGTTTAATACTGCAACTCCATCTGCTATTAGATCCCTGATGAAGTGGAACTTAGTGTCGATGTGCTTCGTTCTCTCATGATGAACTGGATTCTTTGCTAAAGCTATAGCACTCTGTGAATCACAATGCAGTTGAACACTTTCCTGCTTGAATCCTAACTCAGCACATAATCCCTTTAACCACATACCTTCCTTTGCTGCCTCGTTTACTGCCATGTACTCTGCTTCTGTGGTGGAAAGAGCAACCACAGACTGTAGACACGACTTCCATGAAACCGTGTTTCCTCCAACCTTGAATACATAACCTGTAACTGATCTCCGCCTGTCCAAGTCTGTTGCATAGTCTGAATCTGAGTAACCTTCAATAATGAACCTTGTATGCTTCTTGAATGTTAGGTTGATCTTTGATGCTCCCTTTAGATACTTTAACACCCATTTAACTGCTTCCCAATGTTCTCTACTAGGCTTACTCATGAACCTGCTGATAAACCCCACTGCGAAGCCTAGGTCTGGTCTTGAGCCGACCATAGCATACATTAAGCTCCCCACAGCACTGGCGTATGGAACGTTCTCCATATATGGTGCTTCCAGCTTCCATTCTTTCTCAGTCAAACTCCTCAAGACGAAGTGTGCAGCCGTAGGCGTAATCACTGAACGTGCTTCCAACATCCCAAATGTTTTCAATACCTTTTCAATATAGGTATCCTGTGACAATATCAGTGTGCCCTTCTTTCTGTCTCTTCGAATATCCATGCCTAGGATCCTCGAAGCCTGACCCATATCCTTCATTTCGAATTCCCCACTCAGCCTCTCTTTGAGTTCCTTGATCACCTTCTTATTCCCTGATGCAATGAGTATGTCATCAACATAAAGCAATAAGTAGATAGCTTTATCAGTTTGTGCATCCCTGACATACACACATGGATCCTTGGTGCTCCTGTCAAACAACTGATCTTTCATGAAGCTATCAAACCGCTGATTCCACCTTCTTGGAGATTGCTTCAACCCATAAAGTGACTTTCTCAATAAACACACCTTATTCTCATCTCCTGGTTTTATGAACCCTTCTGGCTGAGACATTAAGATTCTTTCTTCTAGACTCCCATGTAGAAAAGCAGTCTTAACATCCATCTGTTCCAATTCGAAATCCAGATTCACAACAACTGATAGCATGAACCTGATGGAGACGTGTTTCACCACTGGTGAGAAGATCTCATTGTAGTCAACTCCCTCAGTTTGTGAATACCCCTTTGCTACTAGTCTCCCTTTGTACCTCTCATCTTCCACTCCTGGTATACCTGGTTTGATCTTAAAAATCCACTTGCACCCAACCAGCTTCTGCTTGTCTGGTCTATCGATCAAATCCCATGTCCTGTTCTTTGTATGAGAATCCATCTCTTCCTGTGCAGCCTTTTTCCACAGATTTCTGTTTTTGCTTCTCATCGCCTCAGCATATGATCTTGGTTCATCAACTTCCAAGTCCTCAGCAGTAGTTAAAGCATAGGCCACAAAATTCCCATCCTCATACCTTGATGGAGGTCTCACGTTCCTCCTTCTTTCTCTGTCCCTCGCAAGAACATAATCATCCAATGACTGAGCATAGTCTTCAACCTGTTCATTTGTTTCCCCGGTTGAACACGTTTCGCTTTCCGAGCTTTCTGATGATGACGAGTCTTCCATCTCATTCTCCTGATCTGACGTGACATCCCTTTCCAACTCAGTAGCAGTTATGGTTGGACCCTGAATCAGATCATCACTGAATGACACTCTTTTCTTAGGCTTCTTCTTTTTCTGGACTTCTTCTTGTGCAACTGATTCAACCTGTTTAACCCCTTTGTTCAACGTATCTTTGTAGGTTTCATTCTCATTGAACACCACATCTCTGCTTGTTCTGCACTTTCCTTCCTCTGGTATCCAGACCCTGTATCCCTTTGTACCAAATGGGTACCCCATGAATACACCCTTTATAGCTCTGGGTTCGGTCTTTCCCTCAGTAACATGAACAAACGCTGAACACCCAAACCGCCTTAGATGCTTCAAATCCGGTTTTGAACCTGACCAAACCTGTTCAGGTAACTTGGAGTTAAGTGTTGAATTCGGTGACCGGTTGATCAGGTAGACAGCCGTTGATGCAGCTTCAGCCCAGAAACTTTTATCCAACCCTGTCTCAGCAAGCATACACCTGACCTTGTCCATTATAGTTCGATTCATCCTCTCTGACACCCCGTTTTGCTGAGGAGTGTAGGTACATGTTCTATGCCGTTTGATGCCTGCATCCTTGCAGAAACCATCGAACTCCCTGTTGCAAAATTCCAGCCCATTATCAGTCCTCAAACACTTGATCTTCCTCTCTGTCTGAGTCTCAACAGCAACCTTCCATTCCTTGAATGTAGCAAATGCATCACTCTTATTCTTTAGAAAATATAGCCATACTTTCTTAGAGTAATCATCAATGAAGGTTATGAAGTACTTGCAACCTCCTAAACTGTCTGGTGTTGATGGTGAACCCCACATGTCTGAATGCACATAGTCTAGGATTCCTTTTGTAACATGCTTTGCGACTGGGAAGCTTTGTTTATGGGACTTCCCCAGCACACAGTCTTCGCAAAACTTCAACTCATCAACCTCCTTCTCAGGCACGTACCCCTCCTTGGCTAAAACCTTCATACTCTTCAGATTCATGTGTCCAAGTCTTGAGTGCCACAGACTTGTCCGATCACACGCTTCATTGGACAAGTTTGCCTCGCCCTTCAACACAGACCCTTGCAGATAATACAGCCCTTGATGATATTTTCCAGAGATCACCTTTTTATCATCCTTGTAGAAGTGAACCATTAAATCTTTTCCTTCATACCTGCAACCTGCAGTCTCCAGCATTCCATATGAGATTAGGTTTCGGTGCATTCCTGGCATGTATCTTACACCCGTGAGAACCACAACTGAACCATCAGAATTCTTTATCTTTATCTTCCCAATTCCCTGGATATTGCTGTGAGTATTGTTAGCCATCAGTACCTTGCCTCCTTTGAATTCTTCCAGATCGAACAGAAACTCCTTGTCTGGAGTTATGTGAAAAGAGCAACCAGAATCCATGACCCACTCTTCCTGCGTGTCCTGAGTGCTCACGGTCAACACCAGGGTTGCTTAGGTTCCTCTGCAATGTTGGCTGAGCTCTCTGGTTTGCCATACTTCCGATCAGGGCAATCTCTTTTCCAGTGCCCCTCCTTTCCACAAATAAAGCAGCCCTTGTTACCCTTAGGTCGAGACTTTGACCTACCAAATCTGCTCTTCGATCTTCCCTTTCCATTGCTTCCACTGCCACGGTTTGACCTGTTTTCTGATCTGCCTCTGTCAACATACAATCCTTCCCCTGCAGACTTAGAACCCTTTCCGCTTTCAGTCAGCTCTCTTTCCTTTGACCTTGCAGCTCCAGTAACCTCGTTGAGACTCAGAGTGTCTCTACCATACTTTAGAGTCTCTTTCAACTGATCATACCGGTGCGATAGTGAACTCAATAGCAAGATGGCTTGTACCTCCTCAGACACCTCTACTTGTAGATTGTTGAGGTCTGCCACCAGTTTCAGAAAGTCATCGACGTTCTCATCGATACTCTTAGAATCAGACATCTTGAATGTATAGAACCTTAGCTGAAGGTAGATTCTATTCGGCAAAGATGTCTCCATGTACAACTTGTTCAACGTTGACCACATTGATGCAGCTGTTTCGCAGTGTGTGATCTTACGCAGGACTTTATCACCCACGTTCAACACAATCAAATCCTTTGCCTTCTCAGATTTCTCGAACTTGGCTGGATCTATACCCGGAACTGTCTCTTCAACTCCTGCTAATCCCTTCTGCGGATCTTTCATAGCCGCCTCAAGCTCTTCCTCTGCAGTAGGTGGATCCTTAAGCAACTTATCATCATCCAGAATACTCTTCAAGCCCAGTACCCCGAAGTGTGCCATCATCCTGACCTTCCACAGCGAGAAATCCCCAGTACCCTCAAACCTGTCCACTTCAATCCGTTTGTTGGACAAGCTGACCATCCTCCTTGCTTAGATTAATCACACGCCTTGAACCTGAGGGCTCTGATACCACTTTGTTACGATTTCAGCTTCGTATGATTCTCAACCTAAGCGATCAACTAGTTACTTGAACAATTAAGTAAATGACACAAGCAACTTTAACGAGTTCCCGGCCTCTAGCGCGGTACGTCTCGTGGGAGAACTCTTGCTCCCAAACTCCACTAGATCAATAAAGAGTACAAGAACCAATCACTTATAGAACCGTGATGGTTTAGATAACACCAAGAAGACACAAGTAGTCTCAAGGCCTTAAGCTAGAACAATATGAGCTCAACAATGTTCTCTATGCTTAGACTAATCTCTCTGTCTCTCTTGTGTAGCTTGACTCTTTCTCTGCTAGATCTCTTGTTCCTGATGAAGAAGACTGCTTCTTTTTACTTGACCTAATCGCACATATTAAGTTAGCCTTTAACCTAATGGGCTTTGTCGACTAAGCCCATAGGTTGTCCGCGCATAACTTGTGCAGGCCGGCCCAACATTGAACGGGTCCGATTGGGCCTTAACCAAACCTCACACTTCCTTAGCCAACTCCTCGTCGATTATTCTACCATATGTATCAAACATCTTGTCCATATGTATCAAACATCTTGTCCAATATCTCTTCTCCGAAGTGTGAAGCAATCATTGACTCTTGAGCCGCTCTTACCGTCTTTGCATACACCAGACCTGCACTAATACCATCCTTGCTGGCCCACTCCTTGTCTACTTCAAACATCTCTAACTTCTCTAATTCAAAAGACCCTTCTTTGTTCACTTCACTTTCTATCTCAGCAGCACTTGGGGCGTAAAAGTGGATCTCGTAAGAATTGAGCTTCTCCTCCTCAATTTCTTCCTACGGTTAAAAGTTAAAACGGACACGAATTAGCAGTTTCTCAAATAATAGGGAAACTTTCCATTCGAACACAAGTTTGATACCACTTTTCAAATTTACCATGATATATACCTGTGCGACAAGATCTGCTATGGATCTTGCGAGAAGTTCCCAGAAGAAAGAGTTTCCTCACCAACATGATTAGGACCATCTCTTCCAACTAATATGAGCACCATTCTGCCTGCAGAAACCACCTCTTTTGATCGAGAACGGAGGAACATGGAGAAGTCTTCCTTGAATTGACTATAGTAAGCTTTGGAAACAGCTTCAGGGCTCGAGGAGCAGATGTTTATACAACCTTTGTTTATGCACTTGCCTTGATCGTCATATAAACCTGGAGGAACCTGAAACAACAACAACAATAATAATAATAATAATAATAATAATAATAATAATAATAATAATAATAATAATAATAAGAATAATAATAATAATAATAATAATAATAATAATAATAATAAAGAAAAGAAAATACCTTTATAAATAATAAATATATATATACTTACGCCTACAATTATTATAGATATTTTTTATAGTTATTATAGATAAATATGTTCACCTTGGAAAGCCATTGTAAGCTAAAAGAGGTATAGATAAAATGGATGTTTTTTTCAGGGAAGAGCCTTCCATAGAATGATCCAGGGTAGGCTGCAATGAAAACTGAAGGGCAATCACCATCGTTGGTGTCTCTCTTGAGCTCTTTGTGAAAGTCAGGCAAGGACTTGAATATAGAGTTGAAGTCATTGCTAGGGAGATCGTTAAGGAAGATGGTGAATTCCGGCAAAGGCTGCTTTGAGATCTCACGGTGATGTGCAAACTCGACGGCTTTGATGATGTCTCTAATGGTGGAAAGAGTGTTCGGTCCTGAAGAACATCCCAGGTCAGCTATCCCTAAACTCTTGGGTCTTGTCTCTTTGTAGAGTTGTTCCACTGCTTCTAATGTTATGTGTTTTGCCTTATCAGAGGCTTTCTTCTGCAAATATCAAAACAACAAAAATGTAATTACAAGTCAGAATCTTATATTTGAAATATTGAGAACCTGTACGGAAGAGTGTCTGGCATAGTCTGTCATGTGAAACTCTCTTTCTAGATCCCTCTTCTCCATCACAATGACAAAATAAACTACTTCTTGGGTTTAGGTTTTTGTCCTTTTGGTATTAGAATTGGCTTCTTAAAAGGAGTAAGATTGGCCTGTCACCTCCACTAATACATGAATCATAAATAATTAAAAAACCTATTATCACCAGCGCTCGACCTTGGTGTTCGGGTATTCGTTTGGATTCCGATTGAGCATTTTTCGTTCGGTTTCTCCTAGATTTCATTTTAATATATTATTAGTACATACCGGATTCGGATAATAACACTCTGAGTTTGGTTCAAATATGTATTATATATATCATAAAACCTAGGATCAGAAATATCCGAAGTAATTAAATGACAAAATTTGAATAGAAATTGATCCAACACTCATCAAGTTGATAAAGAACAATGAACTGTTAAATCAAGCATGAAAAAACAAAAATCGTTTGTAAACGGTATTCATTACCTTATAAATTGAGTATTTGAAATATTTATATATGTTTGAAATATTTATATTAACTTTCATTTCAGACTTGTTCGCTTATCCCTACGGATAATAACAGTCGGATAATAGTTTTTTTTGGGTTCGGTTTTGGATCTCGGGTTCTAGAGTTTATGCCTAGTCCTAACCATCACTTTAAAAGTACGACATTTTTTTTTTCAAAATTTTATAGAATAAAAAGTTAAAATATTTAATTTGTTTCTATTATTAAACTGGTTTAAATATTTAGATGATAAATGTTTATTTTGTTTGAGTTAAAATTTTGCGTTTTAAAATTCTAATAAGCTCAACTTATATTGTCCTATTTAAACTCAAACATAGCTAAATTAAGATCTATTTCAATAATAATTTTTATTTAATTTTGTAATTAAATAAAATTTAAAAGATTCATACAATATTTTCTTAAAAATATAATTTTATTAAATAACAAAAAAAATCTTGTGTGATGTTGTATAGTGTTGGGTTGTGCATTAAACCCGCCCCGCTTAATTCGTCACCTCGTGGGTTGGGTAATTTTTTTGTTAAAACATCTGACCAGCATAAACCGTAAAGAAAAAGATTATACATGCACCCGCCTTGATAAAATTTGTGGGTGATTTGTGGGACCTACAAATAATATTAATAATAATATGCATATTTATTTTTATTTTTATTAAATATATATAAAATATTTTAAAATAAATTTCATTATTTTATTATTATATTTAAGAAAAGCAACATTTTTTTAAAAAAAAAATGATATGTTGATTTTTTTTTTAAAAAAAAGCTTTTACGGGTTGATGGTATCTGCTACTTAAATTTTGCCGACCTGCACCAGCTCCACAGAAAATACACTCAACCTATCATGGGTAAGGTTAGAAAAAGTCCAATAAAGGATTTGATCTATTATCCAAGATCTGGATTCCCTCTTATTCACTCCAAAAAATGGATAACCGAAGAATCCAAAAATAGATAGTAAATCTTACGAAACTGGAAGATTTAGATAGTAATTTTTTTTATATGGATATGCAGATCTGGATCTGTTATACGTTTTTTAAAATATATAATTTTAAAATATAATGTTAGTTATATAACTTTTAATAATTCGTCAAGAAAGAAAAATTAAAGATTTTTTTTATAGCTTCAAACCGATGGCCGGAGGTTTCTATAATTGTGACATTGGTTTGTTTAACTTGTTTTGTTTCTCTTTCTTTGATTTGTTTTCTAAAGTTTAACTTGTCATTTGGTTTGTTTGATTGTAGTTTATTTTGAATCTGCTAAAGTTTTGGGTTATTCTTTTGTATGATTCTTCCAATGTATTTAGAATGACAAAAATTTCAGCTTCATTGGTTTGTTTAACTTGTTTTGTTTCTCTTTCTTTGATTTGTTTTCTTTCTAGGGTATCCATTTTATATATTTGTTTTGCTAGTCCTCATTATTTTCATTGTTTATAATCTTTGTTTAAATAGCTTAATAATAGAATCATGCGTAAGAAAAAGATCCTAATAATTTATTCAATGTTTGTTTTCAAAATTATTTTAAATAAGAAATATATTTTAAGTAGTAAATATTTAATTTAATTTTATCAAATCTTTTAAAAAATCTATTCTGGAAATCCACGGGCATCTATATTTTAATGTGGATATTCAGAAGCTTTAGGAGAAAATATTTAAAATATCTTAAGTTAATTACTGTTTTTCAAAAATATATTCAAATACTCTAACATTTAAATTTACGATTTAATGATTATTATTTTGAGTTTAGTATTTAGCGGGTAGAGTTGAATTCATAAACTTCTATAAATGTTTCATAAATAACTTTTAAACATTCTAAGCGATTAGTAGAGTTAATTTGATATTTTTATCACAAATTTAAAGTACTTATAAAGTTATTATTATTAAAAATAATTTTTTAAGTAATATCAAACTTGTGGTAAAATTAAAATTCTGTGAAAACTTAATCCTGGATGATAATTGGATTTAGATCCGCATATATTAAGATACCTCGGATTTCTGGATGTTCCAACTCTACATAGGAGACAGCATCAACCAATATTAATGGTCTAGATGTAACGTCTTACTTGCCATACTAATTTTAAAAGATAAATAAATATTTTATAAAAAGTAACTTGTGCGTATGGTTTATTTAGAAAAAGCATACATGCAAATAATTTTTAATCAAAAACCTATTGACTATGATAATTATGTCAGTGATGTTGATTTAACCTATTTGACTATGCTAATTATATAAAACTAGATAGTTTGCCCGCACTTGCGGGCTTAATAATTTTACTAATATCTATAAATAAATATATAATCAATTTATGTAAATTATAATAAATTATTGTTCATAGACTCAAAATATTTAATCAAAAACTAAACATATTCTTTCTATATATAAAAATTTTCACCAGCATATAAATGATTTTCATTACACAACTTATATTTGAAAATACTCATAAACTTAAAATATTTAGTAATAAATTAATATCATTTTAGACATAACAAAATATGTATAAAAAATTATCTTTAATAATGTTTTGGATAACACAATATAAATTATCTATACATAAATTCTTTGTGAATTGATTTTTCATAATTAACTATATATTAACAAATAGAATTATTCAACGTTAATAAAGACTTTATAACAAAATATAAAAAAGTTCGATAAGGATAATTATCAAATTCATGACATTCATTTTTTAATTTAGAATTAATTTTATATTAATAAATATAATTATTTTTCAAGGTTGATAAAGACTTTATTACATAATATAAAAAATTAAAATAAGGATAATTATCAAATAAATAAATTTGTTTTTAATTTATAATTAATTATATATTAACCAATATAATTATTTTCAAGGTTAATATAGATATTATAAACCAATATAAAAGATTTTTAGATAAAGATAAATCTAAAATCATTGAAATTCGTTTTTCTTATTTCTGATTTTTTTTAATAAATTTATTATATTAATTATTCTCAGTTATCTAGATAATAACATACTAATCTAATTTTATTTTTTAAATTTCGTTTTAATTATAAAATTAGTTATATAGAAAAAAAATTCATTAAGGTAAAATAGATATTAACCGCTCTAACTTTTAACGTGGGAGCTCTGTCGCGAAAAATCACTTCGCAAATAATAGTATAGATATATAGGGTTTCGATTAAATCAACATCATTGACTCTAGACTAAATTATTAAGGCATCCAATAACACCACGTTGGTCAACACAACCCTTATCACTTATTATTTTCTAATCTTTTCTTTCATGAAAATCTTTTTTAATAACCAAAATTTTGACTAAAATCCTAGAATAAAAACTAAGAAACTTCAAGAAAAACTTCTGACGGAAGATTTTTCTGATTTTTTTTTAATTAAAATTAAATATTTAGTTTTAATTGTCAATTACAAAACTAATATATGTAGATTTTTACTGACAATGAGCCGATTTTATGTAACAGTTGAAAAGATTTCCAAACAAGTTTTCTATTAAAATTAAGTTAAATTTCTGAAACAATTTGGTTAACTGTAAAACAAACATGTTTATCCGAGAAGACTTTGAGAGAAGTCTATTTTTTATTTTTTATTAACAAAAAAAAGTTGGAAGACTTCACAAAACTTTCTCTGAAAAATACATAGAAAGTCAATTACAAAAAAAAGTTGGAAGACTTCCGTAGAAGTTTTCTTGGTGAAGAAGACTTCTTCGCGAAACATATCTGAAAAAAAATAAAGATCATTCTTAGATTAAATGAGGTTCATGTTTAGTTTCTCTAATCACAAATAACTTCTCAACAAAAGTTACCCATTCATTCTAAACCAAGTATCATGAACTTGAGTAACTTTAATAAGCTTATAAAATTTGAAATAATAAAGAGATTTTAGGATGAAACAAGAGAGGAAATGAAAGAGAAATTATTTGTGTGTGTAAGAAATATGCATATGCAGATGTTGATTTAAGTATATTTAGAGCTTGAAATCAGTTATTTTATGATAGTTGGTGTAATAAATATAATGACAATGCTGTAAATAAAAGAGGAAGATTGAAATGGTTGAATAAACAACTAATTTCAAAAAGAAAAAAAATAATAAAATTTCATAAATAGTTCAAACTTCTGGGATAAACATGTCAAATAAAATTTTGAAAAATATTATGAATTACTTTTGCGTTTGACTTTTTTTTTAAGTCATATTTGCAAAACCGCCTATATTAATTAAGACTTAAATTATTTTGGTTAATATGTCACCAAATAATTTTTTTAATGTTAATGATCTTTTTTAGTTTAATTAAAAAGCAAAATCAAGAACTAACGTTTTACAATAAATTCAAACAAGTCATACTTACCAATAATAACTATCACAAATATCTATTTGAAGAAATTGTGACATCAGTGCTCGGATTTGTATCATGAAATTATTTGTGCTTCAAAGAAACTAAATGTTTAAAAAAGAAAGATTTTAAAACTTTCCCTTTATAGATAATAATGAAAAATAAAAAGTGGTTAGTAATTTATTACTTATGTAATAGATAGATAATAATATACAAAGTTATATAATATAATCTAATTTAAATTAAAATAAATGTAAATTTAGATAACATATTTAACACCTTCCATTAACAAATCTATAAATTCAGTATTTACTGTAAATTGATAAATTATTTAATATTTTAGATAAATTATGTAAGAAAAGATATTTAAATTTTTTTTTGTTATATAGATGATTAAAAAATAAAATACAGTTAGTAATTAGTATTTTCGTTAGTTGTGCTTTGTATAGATAATGATATAAAAACCATGTATATACTCTCTCTGTTCCTAAATAATCCATGTTTTAGAATTTTCACACTTATTAAGAAAACACTTAAATTTTTGATAATAAATGCATTAATTTATGTGTTTAGATATTTCCTATGATTTTTAACCAATCAAAATTCATTAAACATAATTAATGTTTTTGAAGTTTACAATTTACCATTATTACATACATTGAAAATGTAAAATATGAATCTTTTAGAAACAAAATTTTTTTCTAAAATATGGATCATTTAGGAACGGAGCGAGTATTATTTAATTTTAAAGTAAATGGTAAATTAATTTTAGATATAAAAATGAAGTTAATTTTCATCTACAAACTAAAATGTTATATCAATTGTAATACGGCAAAATTATTTTATACATATTAAAAAATAATTTATTTAAGAATTAAAAAAATTCTTGCATATGTTCTGTCTACGTATAAGGCTACTGACTTCTCCCTCAAGTCATCCTATCTCCTATGCCTTAATTTCTCTGATTTTAGTATCCACTGTACCTACTGGTACATGAACTTTTCTTTGTTTCTTAGATATGCTTTTTTCTTTCCAGTCGGTTTTTGCTTTAGTCTATCTATTTCTGTACCCCATGGGATCCTCCCTAACTTTGTCCTTTTGGACTTTCATTTATTGAAGTATTCAGTGTTAAAAAAAAAAAAAAAACTACAATAAAATAATTAATAGCTAACGATTGCTTGGGGACCAAGTAGGGAAAGGAAGGACCAGGAAAGGAAAGGTAAATATTTTCCAAAGTAAAAAGACTGTAGCACAAGGCCAGTAAAAGATTCCACTCACGGTGAGGGAGAATGAAAAGGCTAACTTAAAAAAGGCAATAGGATCACCGGAAATCGCCCCTCACAGAGAGAATTTTAAGTGATCAGACATGCTTTAAAAGTTGAATTGAAAAAAAACATCAAAAATTTAAATATTGATTATGCAAATATTAAAAAAAACAAAATTTATTCTAGATTGATTTTATTCAAGCATTGATTGATTTTATTTAAACATTGTGTATTTAATTCAATCATTTATTCGTTTTATTTAAACATTAAATATTTAAATATTGATTATGTCTAGAATATTTTAGGAAGACTATATCACGAAATTATATTTCGAAAGTAAAACAAGAAAAGATTTCTAATAATTATTGATTGATTTTTTTAAGGGTAACTTGTGTACTCCCTCTGTTTCAAAAAGATACATATTCTAGAAAAAAATTATGTTTCAAAAATATGTATTTTTTTAGATTTTCAATGTACTTTTTATCAACTAATAATGAAAAATTGCAAATTTTCAAAAACATTAATTGCATTTCTTGAAATCTTATTGGTTTAAAAACATGAGAAATATAAAATTACAAAAAATTATGCATTAATAAGTAAGTTTTAAATATTTTTTTAATATGTGTAAAAAACTTAAAACATGTATTATTTTGAAACAGAGGAAATAATATTTTTATAGAAGCTAAGAGATTATAGTTCGAAATCATATCATGTAAATAAGCTAATTGATTTATTTTATTCGAGCATTAATTGATTTTGGTTAAGAAAAATACATTATTCGGAAATTATAGATATGATTTCTCAGTAAGTAATCAGAAGTAATACATATTCATTTCAATTTTAAATACATTGATTTCAATTAATGATTTTTGTTTGCTTGATTTTTGGCCATAGTTATTCAACACCACCATTAATTCTTTCTTTTGTTTAAACATTTTCCTCAAGATACTATATATATCTTTCTAAACTAATCTAAGAACACCATCAACCTAAACATTTCTAAAGCATCATCGAAAACTATAATTATTATCATCATAATTTTATTGTGAATTAAATAGTTATATTGCCTATGACTTATTTTTCTTAAATTTATCATAAATGTAAATAAGTCTTTGCTTTACTCTTATACTCCCTCTGTTCCTAAATAATCCATGTTTTAGAATTTTCACACTTATTAAGAAAACACTTAAATTTTTGATAATAAATGCATTAATTTATGTGTTTAGATATTTCCTATGATTTTTAACCAATCAAAATTCAGTAAACATAATTAATATTTTTGAAGTTTACAATTTACCATTATTACATACATTGAAAATGTAAAATATGAATCTTTTAGAAACAAAATTTTTTTCTAAAATATGGATCATTTAGGAACGAATGGAGTAGTTTTTTTTTTCTATATAATAGATATCAATGCACCTATCTAATTACACAAACTTTTTTTTCATAAAAAACAAATAAGCTTACATTATATAAACATGTACTCCCTCTGTTCCTAAATATAGGATTTTTTGGGTTTTTTCTTTGTTCCACAAAATAAGATTTTCTGTAAAATATTAATGCTTTTTCATTTAAAATCAACTCAGTCAATTTGTATTTACGAGAACTTCTTAAATGTTTTTTGGGTAAAGACAAGTTCTTTTTGTTAAAGTTCAGTTCCTCCACGCTAACTTCATTTTATTCTTTACAGTTTACTTTCTTTCTAAAGTGCAAAGAAAAAACTTGAGAAGATACCATGTTGCAAGTAAAGTGCATGAATTAACAAAAAAACCTGGATTGATCTGAGAATAATCTTCATCTTCATGAATAGGAAATGTTGAAATATTGTTGGATGAAGTAAACTCTCTTGTTGGACTTTAATTCAAATCAAACAAAAATTCTCTTTCATTGCTTTCAAGTTGTATATTTAGGTCAAAATCATGAAAATCCATGAAAAAGTTTTACTTAAACTTTGGAAAATGATCTCTTAATATAGAATATTTATAGAACATGATCATAATAATTTGTCTCCGTTCTAAAATTCTACTTTGGCTCCTTTCTAAATTTCACATATTGTTTGGCTCCATTCTAAAATTTTACTTAAAAAAAAATGTAGTTTGGCTCCATGTTTGAAATTTTTTACGAAATTGAAATGATTTGTTACTAATTTACATTCACTTTTCAAAGAATATGAAGAGGTGAGAAGGTGTGTGCAAAATTGATCAAAGAAACTCTTGAAAATAACTCCAACTTAAAGAGATGAGAAAAAATAATATTAGATCTCTCGAAGCAAACGTACACACACATTAAAGACAAAAGTTAGGCAAAAAATCCATTAATTATATCTTAATCTACGTGAAACACCCAAAAAATCCTATATTTAGGAACGAAGGGAGTATATTATAGTAAAATTTTTCATTTTAGCTAATTTTTTAATTTTTATCTTTCTGAATATCTATAGATATTAGGTAATAATCTTTTCAATTCGCTCACTCCGCGTAGGGCGCGGATTATCATCTTCTTTATTACCCACACAGATTCTATGTTTTAATAATTTTCTAGAATATGAAACCCTCAGTTCATTTTCTCCTAAAGTTCTCTATTATGAATGTTATCTGTCTTCCACAAAAACCTATCTGTATAACCGAACGTTTATAAACCTCACATCAAATGAGATACCCACACATACATACATCTATCAAAAACACACAACAAAACATCATCTGAATGGCTCCACTGGCATTGTTTCCTCGAACGTAACAGCCGCCTGAAAACACTCCACAGCTTCTTGCATAGACGAGACAGATCCTTCAGCTTTGAACATCTTCCCAAGATTAAACCAAGCCGAATGGTTCAGCCTATCAATCCTAAGAGCCTCCATTAAAAAGCTTCTCACAACTGCTATGCTTGATCCCTTCCCTAGCTCCAGTAGCATCTCAGCTTTAGATATTAGGCTTGGAACGTGCATTGGATCGATGTCTAGAGCAGTTGTGAATGCCTCCATGGCCTCTTCTAGTTGGCCTTGTCTCTTGTACAGTACACCTTGAGTGTGGTATCTTACAGGTGAGTAAGGAGCGATGAGTCTTGATCTCGAGAGACATTTCTCCGCGTCACGCCACTGCGAGAGGTTTATATAGATAAGAGCAAGGTCATGCCACGTCCCAAGCTCAAGACTCCTCAAACCCTCAACATACCCCTTTGGCATCTTCTTTGCAGCACTGAAGTTTTTGCTTTGAACCTGAAGGAGTGCAAGAAGTTGTGTGTAAGACTCAATCCCATCCTTCACTTCTCCTTTAGCTACACGAAGCTTTGCCTTCAAACGCAACAGCTTCCCTTGTTCCCACTTCCCTGTCTCGTTAAGCGCTGCATCCACAATGCTCTCAGCATCTGTAAACCGCTTCTTAGCAGATAAAACACGAGCCAGAAGCAACCATACTTCAAGATCAGACTCTGCTCCAAGCTTCAACGCATGTTTAGCATATGCTAACGCTGAATCAAGCTTCCTCTCCTCTGCATTCTCTAACGCAAGACGGTGCAGGACTCTGGGATCTGTCATATCCGCAGACTCAAGAGCCTGCATCCCCTCAGACAACCTAGCTACCCGCTCGGTCTCAGTAGCTGATGCTCTCGAGCTTTCAGTGAGTGCAATGCCTAAAACAAGACGCGCTGTACTATCTAACTGAACACATTCGTTGCCTAAGCTTCCCATAGCTCTCCTCGCATAGTCTAAGCCTTCCTCAGCGAGTTCAGACCTCTCACCACATATCTTGGAAGCCATAAGCAAACGTTGAACCCGGTTTGGATCCTCCAGCTTCCTCAGCAAACCGAGCGCTACAAGATCTTCTCCTGCACCGTAATAACACAAAGACAACGTATAATAAAGCTCCCTCTGGTCCAAAATCTCAGGACTAAGCTCTTCAAGCTGCTTAGCCAGAGCAGTTAGATCCCCTGCCACTGTAAGAGCGAAAGAAAGATGGTCCAAGATTGCTGCATCCCAAGAGATTCTCTTCTGGTTAACTTTCCAGAGAAGCAACATGAGGAGAAGAACAGCTTCCTCCACATTGTTCCTCGGAATAAAAGATCCTTCAGTTTGAGAACGCAGGCTCGGCGGCAGAGCTTCTTCACCGGAGTATAGAAGAAACACTGCGTACTCTTTCTGTATCCTCGCTGTGGTTTCAGGATCAAGGTTCCAGTGATTGAGTAGCGCTCTTCTAAAAGAGAAGATAGCATCACGCGGCGAGTCAGCTAGTTTCCACAGCTGAGGAAGCAGCTCAACTGCTTTGGTTAGCGTCTCCTTCAACTTAACATCGGTTATCACATTTTCAGATCTAGAAGCCTCCACTATATCAAGAATAACTTTGCAAGACTGTGCAGCTTCTGCAGGAAGAAGAACCACTTTGTTCAGCCAATATACAGATTTTCTTTTTGTATTAGAAAATAAAATAAAACGGGTACAAAAAAAGACAGAATCAGAAGAGAAGAGTGTGACTTGTGACTTACCTTGGAACCTTCCAAGACGCTGGAGAGACTTGGCTTTGAGGAAAATAGCTTCAAAGAGCAAACTAACAGCATGTTTAGACATGGGAGGAGCAAAGGTGGTTTTGGACCGTCTTCTATGTTTTGGTTCTTGTCTAAAAGTTAAAGCGGTTTTGATCTTTGCTGTGATCCCATTGATATCAATCTCTTCAAAGACTCGTAATGCTGCCTCTATGTTCCCATTCTGATACTCAATTCTCCCCAAATGCGCTCTCGCCTCCTGAAACAGTAACAATAACAACACAATGATACAGCTTTTCAAGGGTGATGAAGAGAACAGAACCTCGTAGTTTAATGAATTAGTCTCTCTCAGAGATAACTGTACCTCGTCAATGTTCCCATTATCAAGCTTATCAACAAGGTCTGCTTGATTGTTGTCTTGCTCCTCTATAAGTCTCATTTCTTCACCAGAACATAAACACTTCATCTTTCTCTTACTTAAACTCTGTCTTAGTCTGCTTAAATGGGACCTAACCTCGCTGTTCTTCATAGCTTCTCAAACAAATTCGATGATTCAGAACACGTATTAGACAAGAACATAACAGAAACATGAAATAAGACTTTCGCATTACGATTCTAACTCAGTTCAGTATCGAAAAGGTCGAGACTTTATAACGAAATTGGGATGAGAAATGACGATAGAACCCTCAAGTAGATCGAAATTGCATATGCAATTGAAGTTATAAAGACGATCAGGGAGGAAAAAGATGACACCTTTGGTAATACGAAGAAGAAGACATGGTGGCCTCGAGATTCTTCAGACTTGTTTTAATTCGAAGCAACTCTAGAGAAGCAATTGGAAAAGAAAAATCTGATCTTTTTACTTTTTTGTCTCTGCCTTTTGCTTTGTTGCTTTCTGCATTGATGTGAGTGAGTCTCTCTCTCTGCCTCTTTGTTTGTTGTGTCTTTAGAAATTAAATATTAGAAAAATGGAGACGGCGTGAGGAAGGAGAATGGGTGCAGGAGGAGAAGAGAATATAAAAACAACAGAGAGAATGATCCAAAGGTTTGGACTTTTTGGCACACGAGATCAGACATGTGTTACTTATTGTCTTACTACCTTTTTTGTATTTTTCATTTTTTATTATTATTTCCTTCCTTTTTCTGTTGATTATTTTCCTTTTCTTTTCTTTTCTTTTAAACTAGGTGTTTTGCCCGCACTTGCGGGCTTAATAATTTTACTAATATCTATAAATAAATATATAATCAAGTTATGTAAATTATAATAAATTATTGTTCATAGACTCAAAATATTTAATAATAAACTAAACAAATTCTTTTTATTTATAAAATTTTCCTCATCATATAAATAATTTTCATTACACAACTTATATTTGAAAATACTCATAAACTTGAAACATTTAGTAATAAATTAATATCGTTTTTAGACATAACAAAAAAGTATAAAAAATTATGTTTAATAATGTTTTGGATAACACAATATAAATTATCTATACATAAATCCTTTGCAAATTGATTTTTCATAATTAACTATATATTAACAAATAGAATTATTTTTTCAACGTTAATAAAGACTTTATAAGACAATATAAAAAAGTTAGATAAAGATAATTATCAAATTCATGAGATTCATTTTTTAATTTAGAATTAATTATATNTTTTCATAATTAACTATATATTAACAAATAGAATTATTTTTTCAACGTTAATAAAGACTTTATAAGACAATATAAAAAAGTTAGATAAAGATAATTATCAAATTCATGAGATTCATTTTTTAATTTAGAATTAATTATATGTTAACAAATATAATTATTTTTCAAGGTTGATAAAGACTTTATCACATAATATAAAAAATAAGGATAATTATCAAATAAATGAAATTCGATTTTAATTTATAATTAATTATATATTAACTAATATAATTATTTTTCAAGGTTAATAAAAACTTTATAACCCAATATAAAATAGTTTTAGATAAAGATAAATCTAAAATCATTGAAATTCGTTTTTTATTTATGTTTAATTATATTAAATTTTTTAATTATTCAATAAGGGTATAAACGATATTAACCGTTCTAACTTTCAACGTGAGAGCTTTCTTGCAAAAAATCATTAACAAATAATAGTATAGATTACCTAAATCACAGAAAGTTACAAATTAATCAGCAAGCTCACTTAAATATTATAATTAAAAATATATTTTTAAGATAACAATCAAATACAAAAGAATTAACATATTTTCTAAAAATATAATATTATTAACATAAATTCTTTTTATTTTATTTTCTAATAAATTATTAAAATATGAAAATAAGCAAAATAACCTAAAATCATGGAGAAGTTGACAACTAACCAAATTTTTACTTCTAAAATAATAATTGAATAATATATTTTTTAAGATGACAATTTTATACAAAAGAATTAACATATTTTCTAAAAATATAATATTATTAACATAAATTCGTTTTTATTATATAATAAATTATTTAAACATGAAAATAAGTAAAATAACCTAAAATCATGGAGAAGTTGACAACTAAGCAAATTAAATTTTTTAATTATTCATTAAGGGTATAAACGATATTAACCGTTATAACTTTCAACGTGAGAGCTTTCTTGCAAAAAATCATTCACAAATAATAGTATAGATTACCTAAATCACATAAAGTTAAAAATTAATCAGCAAGCTCACTTAAATTTTATAATTAAAAATATATTTTTAAGATAACAATCTAATACAAAAGAATTAACATATTTTCTAAAAATATAATATTATTAACATAAATTCTTTTTATTTTATTATATAATAAATTATTAAAATATGAAAATAAGTAAAATAACCTAAAATCATGGAGAAGTTGACAACTAAGCAAATTAAATTTTTTAATTATTCATTAAGGGTATAAACGATATTAACCGTTCTAACTTTCAACGTGAGCTTTCTTGCAAAAAATCATTCACAAATAATAGTATAGATTACCTAAATCACATAAAGTTACAAATTAATCAGCAAACTCACTTAAATTTTATAATTAAAAAATATATTTTTAAGATAACAATCTTATACAAAAGAATTAACATATTTTCTAAAAATATAATATTATTAACATAATTCTTTTTATTTTATTTTATAATAAATTATTAAAATATAAAAATAAGCAAAATAACCTAAAATCATGGAGAAGTTGACAACTAATCAAATTTTTATTTCTAAAATAATAATTGAATAATATATTTTTTAAGATGACAATCTAATACAAAAGAATTAACATATTTTCTAAAAATATAATATTATTATCATAAATTCGTTTTTATTATATAATAAATTATTAAAACATGAAAATAAGCAAAATAACCTAAAATCATGGAGAAGTTGACAACTAAGCAAATTTACTTCTCAAATAATGTTATAGATGTCTCTCACTCATGTCCACTTTTTGGGTTTTTTTCATTAATAATTTTCAAAATTATATTTGATTATGGGTCCTCAAAATTATAAATATGAAATGAATATTTATGAATGATGAAGCATGGAAAAGTTGAAACAGCAATTATAATAAAAAATGATGAAGCATGAAAAGTTGAAATACTTAACACACACATCAGTATTCATACAATTATAGTGTTTCCCATTTCACTAGTCCTAATACTATACTAGTATTAAGATTTTCTTAATAAATACTAGATTTTTAATCATGTAGATTTTTTTTATGTTCTTAGAGTACTGGTATTGCTCGGTCTTTGGCGAGTCCTTCGTCAAAAACGAGAAGGACCAAGAGAGAAGTGAGAAAAATCCTAAACAAGGAACATCTTTGTTCGGTCCTTTGTCTTGTCTATGTGTTCCACGACACGTGACGATCTGCGATTCATTCATTTTTAATTTTTTTTTTAAATCAGAAAAAAAAAGTTAAGGACCCAAAATCATCCCCCAATAAAGATGTCCTTAGAACTTTAATGTGTCGAGAGTTCTAATCGAGGGAATATAGAGTTCCCATTTTACTAGTCCTAATATAGTGTTCCCATTTTACTAGTCCTAATACTATACTAGTATTAAGATTTTCTTAATTCATTATAGAATTTTAATCATGTAGATTTTTCTCATGTTCTTAGAACTTTAATGTGTCGAGAGTTGTAATCGAGAGGGAGTGCTCTTGTTAACGTCGATCGTTAAGTGAAAATAGTTGGGCACAAATTGAGTATATACTTTAAAAAGAAAGCTAGAGATGTCGTGAAAGGGATCAAAAATTTGAAATTCAATGTATGGTTATTGGCTATGGTGCCGTAGCCATAACGATATATCTTTATACATGCAGATGGCCAACAATTAAAACATCACAAATGATTATGAAGAGTTTATATGGGTAGATTCGTTACAAAAAATCACGAACTACTCTTATTGCTCTATAGTCTATAATAAACGTTTAAAATAAGAAACAAACATTTAAAAAAAAAAAGTTGTTCTTTCTGTTTACGGTGCCGATCGAGCGATTGCACCACTCTCTTGTTTTCTGACCGGTCCAACACTTATGTGACATCAAGACTGTCACGATACCAAACCATAAAACATAAGCAATCCACTTTGATGAAAATACATGTTAAAGCTCGAAACAAAGGATTGAAAAGAAGAGGAAAAATAATAATACCTCAAACTAATTCATTAGTCTTTACTGATTTATCATCAGTTTTGGGGTGATTCGAACATCTTCCCCAAAGATAACCTAATAACTTTATAAGACACACAACGCAGACCGCCACACCGAAGACGATGGATAACGCACCTCTAGTTTCACAAACGTAAGAACACAAAGTATAACTCAAATAAGAAACTCTTCTTATTAATCTCCTTGTGGAAAATAACTCAAAACCACAACCTCACAAACTCAATAATCTCACACGATGCAATACGCTTTGCATCTTATATATATAGCACCAAACTTTCCTATTCTCAATAGGAAATACAAAACTGATATTTTCCTATNTCCTTGTGGAAAATAACTCAAAACCACAACCTCACAAACTCAATAATCTCACACGATGCAATACGCTTTGCATCTTATATATATAGCACCAAACTTTCCTATTCTCAATAGGAAATACAAAACTGATATTTTCCTATTCTAAAACTTATTAGAACTAGGTATCTTGTCAATCAAGTTAATTGCAAGTTTATTTCCAACATTCTCCCCTTTAAACTTGAGATTAACTTGATTGATATCTTCAACTCCTATTAGCTTTCTCATTTCCTTATACTTGATTCTCCCAAGTGCTTTTGTCAAGATATCTGCCCTTTGTTCATCTCCTGGCACATGTTGTACTTCTATCAAATCTTTCTCAACACATTCACGAATGAAATGGTATCTTCTATGTATGTGTTTGCTGCGTCCATGAAATACCGGGTTCTTAGTTAGAGCTAGAGCCGACTTGTTATCAACAAGTATTACCACTTTCACGCGGGGTTGTCCAGTGATCTCCTCATATAAATCTTGAAGCCAGATTGCTTGTTTAGCTGCTTCTGTGGCTGCCATGAACTCAGCTTCGCAGGATGACAATGCAACGGTTTCTTGTTTCTGAGAACACCAAGTTATTGGACTATTTCCAAGATAGAAAACATGTCCTGCAGTGCTGCGCCCATCATCTTCATCTACGGCATGGGAACTGTCACTAAAACCCTTTATCTCAGCATTGATTCCTCGTTTGAAATTAAGACCACATGCCAAAGTCCCTTTCAAGTACCTAAGGATCTGTTTTAGTGCTGCTCCATGCGATTCCTTAGGTTGCTGCAAATATCTGCTCAAAATTCCCACAGAATACGAGAGATCCGGTCGAGTGTGAAGTAAATATCTAAGACATCCGATGTTCCTCCTGTACTCTGTTTCGTTAATAGCTTTCTCATCTCTCCCTTTTGAAAAACGCAGACCCGGATCCATTGGAGCATGGACTGTATTGCAATCTTCCATCTTAGCCTCATTTAGTATTCTCTTTGCATATCTACCCTGGTTCAGACTGATTCCAAACTCATGTTGACACACCTCAATACCAAGATAGTAAGTCAGTTTTCCCAAGTCGCTCATCTCGAAATTTCTTGACATCCTTTCCTTGAATTCTTGTATTACCTCCACGCTTGTTCCTGTTACCAAGAGATCATCCACATACACAGCTACAAGAAGAAGGTGCTCTTTGTCTCTGCTTCGGTACAAAGCTGCCTCCTTAGTACACTTCACAAAGTTAAGCTGCTCCAGAACTCTGTTTAATTTTTCATTCCATGCCCTTGGTGCTTGTTTTAAACCGTAAAGAGCCTTGTTTAACTTATACACCTTATCTTCTTTTCCTTTGATCACATATCCCTCAGGTTGAGTAACAAACACCACTTCCTTAAGATCACCATGGAGGAAAGCTGTCTTTACATCTAAGTGATGCACCGTCCACCCTTTGGATGCTGCTAGAGCTAATATGAACCGTATAGTCTCAATGCGTGCGACTGGAGCGAATACTTCCTCATAATCAATACCATGCCTTTGTATATATCCCTTTGCCACGAGTCTGGCTTTGAACTTATTAATGCTTCCGTCTGAGTTTCTTTTAACCTTAAACACCCACTTTAAACCTATTGCTTTTGCTCCAGGAGGTAGATCAACAAGGTCCCATGTTTTATTTTTCTCGATGGAGCTGATCTCATCATCACAGGCATCCCGCCAAACCTTCTCTTCACTTGCTTCGCTGTAGCTCCATGGTTCATCGTCCACCAACAACAACTCCTCACCTTCTAGCTCTGCTAATAGTATATAATCCTGCAGGTAACTTGGTTTCTTACTTTCTCTAGCTGATCTTCTCAAAACAGTGTGATCGGGTGCTTCATCATCATCGTGTTCATCATCATGAAGCTCATCTTGATCAGTTGAGACAGCAACTTCCTCAACCTCATTATCATCTTCGCCACATTCGTGTTCAGTTATTCCTTTGTTTCCAATTTCTCCAAGTGTAACTTTAAACATTCCCGGATCACTGTCAACCTTTTCTTCAATTATCTTCCAGCTCCAGCCTTGGTTTTCTTCGAACACTACATCTCTACTCACCACTATCTTTCGATTAACGGGATCATATAACCTATATGCCTTAGATCCTGGCTCGACTCCAAGATGTACCAGCTTCCGGGACCTGTCATCAAGCTTCTTAAGGTGTACACTATCTATCTTGGCATACACCAAACATCCAAACACACGTATATGCTCTACACTCGGTTTCTTCCTCTTAAAGACTTGATAAGGGGTCTGAGATACCAAAACTCTTGTAGCAACTCGATTTATAAGATAAGTAGAATGCCTTATAGCTTCTCCCCACAAGAAATTTGGTACGCCCATATGCTTTAGAATGCTTCTGGTCATTCCTAGTAGAGTTCTGTTTCTTCTTTCGACAACCCCGTTTTGTTGAGGAGAATAAGGAGCCGTGAGATGTCGCAGTATCCCATTAGTCTCACAGTAATCTCGAAATTCACTTGAGCAGAACTCACCACCTCGATCTGTTCTAAGTGTTTTAATCTTCTCTCCCGTTTCCTTCTCAACTACTTCTTTGAACTTCTTGAACTTCTCAAATGCTTCTCCCTTTTCCCTTAGAAGAATAGACCACATGTAACGGGAATAGTCGTCTATTAGAACGAAGATATACCTATTCTTTGCAGGCGTGGAAGGAGTAATTGGACCACAAAGATCCCCGTGGATGAGTTCTAGCACATGACTTGCTCGATATGATGTTGCTTTAGGAAAAATATGTCTTGCTTGTTTGCCAAGTAAACACGAAGAACAAGTCTCTTTACCAATCTCCATGACCGGTATTCCCAAAACAAGCTCCTTCTTTATCATAGTCTTCATTGATTCTCTCCCGATGTGGCCTAATCTTGCGTGCCACTTATCAGCTTGGGTAAGTATCATCGTTTGTAGACACTTCGGTTTTGCTCCTTCCAGGTGAACTTTGTATAGTCTGTTCTTAGACCTCTTTGCCTTTGTGATCAGTCTTCCTTCTTTATCGCTTAGAATGAGATACTCATCTCGCATCCGTACATCACATCCGGACTCTGTGGCTTGACCGAGACTAATGATGTTGCTTTTTAGATCCGGTATGTAGTACACATCGGCTAGAATCTTTTTCTCTCCATCTCCAGTAGTGAACAGAACTGAACCTTTCCCTTTGATCTCAATCCGAGAGTCATCTCCAAATCGTACCTGACCCGTGATTGTCTCGTTGATGGTGTGAAAATAGCCTCGGTTTCCAGTCATATGGTTTGAAGCGCCATTGTCTAGATACCAAGTGTTTTCTCCCACCAAATTTGTTTCGAAGTCCTGCGGATTCATGGTCCGTTCGTTCAAAAATATTACTTCATGCATCATTAGATCTTCAGCCTCTTGTGTATCTTCATCTTTAGTTTCTCGAGCTTCTTGTAGTTTTAACAATCGGTCGGGACAGTCCATGGCGAAGTGACCATTCTTGTCGCACCTAAAGCATACTATTTTGGATAAATCTCGATCATAGTTGTATGTATAACGTCCACGACCTCTTCCTCTGTTTTGGAACCGTCCCCATCTGCCTCTTCCTCTATAATTGTTGTTCTCACGGTTGTAGTTATCCCGGTTTTGATGCTGAGAATCGTTACTCGCGTACATCAGCTTTGTCTGATCGTCTTTTACTTCTTCTTCTTCCTCTTCAGCTATACGTTCCTCAAACGCTTTTATGCGTCCAACAATGTCCTCAAAAGTTGTGTTTTTGAGATCAAGTACTTGTTCAAGTGATGCCACGATATGGATGTACTTTTTCCTAGGTAGGCTTTTAAGGAACTTCTTGACAAGTTTAGTTTCCTCAATGGTATCACCTAACGCAGATGATTTTGACGAGATCTCTGATAGCTTTCCCACAAAATCGTCAACTGTATCTGTCTCTTTCATCTTCAGACGGTCAAACTCTGCACTTAGGGTTTGTAAACGAGCCTCGCGAACCCTATCCGCTCCCATATGTCTTGCTTTGATGGCTTCCCAGACCTTCTTAGCCGAATCAAGTTCTCCAACCTGTAATATCAACGCCTCGGGTATCGATTGGAAAAGTAGTGCTGTGGCCATGTTGTTCTTCTTTACGTCATCGGTTTCGGTTTCAACAACCTCCCAAACTTCGTGTACCTTTAGCAATACCTTGATTCTTATGGCCCAGACGGTGTAGTTCGTTGAATTCAGCATTGGACACTTAATTGAAGCAGAGCCTCCTCCTTCTTTAAGCTTTGCGTTGTATGTCGTGATGTCTCCCATGGTTTTGTGTTCTCAGGATCGTCTCCGATTGCTCTGATACCAAATCTAGTTTCACAAACGTAAGAACACAAAGTATAACTCAAATAAGAAACTCTTCTTATTAATCTCCTTGTGGAAAATAACTCAAAACCACAACCTCACAAACTCAATAATCTCACACGATGCAATACGCTTTGCATCTTATATATATAGCACCAAACTTTCCTATTCTCAATAGGAAATACAAAACTGATATTTTCCTATNTCCTTGTGGAAAATAACTCAAAACCACAACCTCACAAACTCAATAATCTCACACGATGCAATACGCTTTGCATCTTATATATATAGCACCAAACTTTCCTATTCTCAATAGGAAATACAAAACTGATATTTTCCTATTCTAAAACTTATTAGAACTAGGTATCTTGTCAATCAAGTTAATTGCAAGTTTATTTCCAACAGCACCGAAGTTGTCCATATCGTCTTCGTACGTACGCTTAGCTCGTTCTTATTATATCTATAGCATGCGTTAGCTTCATTCTTATTGCACAGAAATATATATATATATAGATAGTCACTTTCACGCTTCATTTAGCATTTTTGAGGCAAAGACAAAACATGGAAATTTTTCATTTTCGGTATTATAGAAAATATTACTTCTTTAAGTATGGAAAATATATTTACGTGTATACAAAAAAAAGGAAAGGGTAAAATCTAGACGATGGCATATTGGAACATAGCATCTTACTTAATATATGTATGTTTTACAATTTCCTTTAGATAAAAAGAAATGTTACATGGTAATGTGAAGGTAAATTTAACAATTTTTCTTTTTTAAAAAACATCATTTAGAAGTTTTGTATCAATGGGCTTTCATTTGGATCTGTTCCAAAATATTTGTCGTAAATGATAGAGTCTAAAACGCTGCCGTTTCATCCTTCTATCTCTTCCTTGAAGATCAAAACATTCAAAAACTCAAATTAACAAATACATTTCAGCAAATCGACAGAGAGAGAGAGGGAGAGATGAATCTTCCAGTAGTAGTATCTTGCTTCGCGCCTCGAACTCGGATGCTTCTCCACACCAACTTGAATTCGAGATCTTCCGACACGATACCATTCCGGAACTTAAAACCCCTCGCTGCCGTTTCGTCTGATTCCGTTCCCGACCCTGACTCCACTCTCAAACCGAAGAAGGAAGAGAACTTTCCGACCAAGGTCCCGCGTAAACCCAAACGAGGACGACGGAGCGAAGCGGAAGCCGTGGAGGATTTCGTGAGAAGCTCTCTCGAGAAGACATTCTCCACCATACGAGAGCAGAATCCAGAAGTGTTCGAGAACAAGGATACGGCAAATTTCATCAAGAACAGAGCTGATCAAAACGACGACGAAGAGGTAATCGAAGAGATGGTGGTGGAAGAGGAGGATCCAGATTGGCCTGTGGATACGGATGTTGGATGGGGAATCAAAGCTTCGGAGTATTTCGATACACATCCTATCAAGAACGTGGTGGGAGAAGACGGGAGTGTGATTGATTGGGAAGGTGAGATTGATGATAATTGGGTGAAGGAGATTAATTGTTTGGAGTGGGAGAGCTTTGCTTTTCATCCTAGCCCGCTCGTGGTTCTTGTATTCGAGAGATATAACAGGTGAAAAAGCTTGTTTCTTCTTTGACGCATTTTCACGAACACCTTGTGTGCATAGGAGAAAAGTATTAAAACTTTAAAAAGCTTTTGTCTTTTTCGTTTTTTGAGATCTTTATTGTGTGTGGAACGGACCCTTTTAGAATAAGAGTCCGTATTCATCAAACTTGAATGGAAAGGAAACATTTTTTTGAGGAACTATTCGTTTTGGTGTCTACAGGGCTAGTGATAATTGGAAGACATTGAAAGAGCTTGAGAAAGCCATTAAAGTTTATTGGGATGCAAAAGATCGGTTACCTCCACGGGTATGTCAGAACCCTTCTCTATGTGCCCAAGGCTTTCATTGTCTTTCTCATGATGTGATTACAAGTTGTGGATATAACTCTTTACTCTCTGTTAACAAGGATCACCATGTTTGATGAAACAGGCTATTAAGATTGACTTGAACATCGAGACAGATTTGGCATATGCTCTTAAAGCCAAGGAATGTCCACAGATTCTGTTTTTACGGGGGAACCGGATTCTGTACAGGGAGAAAGGTGATATGATGCGTTGTCTAATACTGTTTATTAATTTATTTATTTATTTATTTTGCAATGTATATGAGCAATGGATCATCAACATAGAGTGTTTGAAATATGATGCAGAGTTTCGTACAGCGGATGACTTGGTCCAGATGATTGCGCATTTCTACTATAAAGCAAAGAGACCTTCGTGGATAGACAAGGCTAACATAACCCCGTATTGCTAGTTTGCAATGCAAACGAGTAGAGGTGCTAAAAGGTCAGTGTAGGAATGATGTTTGAGACTTAAACATATGGCTATGTTCGGAAGAAAGAAGAGATCAAGCATGAGTTACTCGACCTTTTTATTTCAACATTATGTTGTTAGCTTATGGAAATAGCAGGTGACTGG